AATTTCAACTGGCAGCTGAAAACCATGTGAATATAATTATTAATTGAAAAGTTACGGGGGGCAGCATTGTGGGTTAAGCCACCACTTGTGATGCCAGCATCCCATTCAGGTTCTGACTTGAGTACCGGATGCTCCTCTTACAGTCCAGCTCCCTGCTGATGTGCCTGGGAAAACAAAGGATGGTTGTTCAAGTGCTGGGGCCTCTGCAACCTCTTGGGCAGCTGTGAAGGAGTTCCTGACCCCAGCTTCATTCTGACCCAGCTCTGGCTGTTGCGTCCATTTGGGGAGTGAACCAGTGCATGGATTTCTCTCTTTCTTTCAAATAAATAGTAAATATATCTTAAAAAAAAAAAAAGGTTACAAGGAAGACTGTCCAATGGGAGGCCAAAGGTCAGTTACTTTAATCATGTGCTTTCTATCATTATGTGTTGTGTTTCACGAATGGATCACACTCAGATTTAGTAATTTTCACTATACATCATGTTATGATTTCCAAAATATGACATGCATATGGCTGATGTGGCTTTGGGACAGGAATAGCATTGATATTGTAATTTAACACTTGAGAGGGCCCAGTAGCTTAGTGGCTAAATCCTTGTCTTTCATGCACTGGGATTCTATATGGGCACCTGATCACATTTCAGCCGCTCCACTTCCCATCCAGCTCCCTGCTTGTGGCCTGGGAAAGCAGTGGAGGACAGCCCAAAGCCTTGGGACCCTGCACCCGTGTGGGAGACCTGGAAGAAGTTTCTGGCTCCTGGCTTTGGATCGGCTCAGCTCCAGCTGTTTATGTCCACTTTGGAAGTGAACCTGCAGACAGACAGAAGATCCCCAGTGCCTACATGGGATTCTGGGCCCTGCAAGGGGAGGCTCAGCCAATTGAGCCATAGCACCACAGCCTTACAGGTTAGTTCTGAACGGAAAATCACATTGTAATGTGATTCTCTCTTGATGTTTAAATTTTGGCAATTAATCTAACATTTTAAATAGCATCGTTGAAACAAAGGCAGTATTTCTGCAGGACATAGCCCACCAGTTTGTATTCCTGGTCTTAGTTTTGAGTTTAGCAAAGTCTGAAAGTCTTGTGGGGAGAGATGACTCCTGTTAGCATCTAGGGCTGGATGCCAACTCTTTCTAGCTAACTCTCCCGTGAGCCTTCAGATCCTATAGGGCTAAGGATCTCTTAGGATGAACCAACATCCTACTGTATGAATTCAGAACAGATACCTTCATTTGCCCAACGAGTACCTTTTCTGGTTGAGGCATGCTTTACTCAGCTTACATGTAGCTCCCATCAGGCCATCCTTTTGGGAGATTCCAATCCAGTAGGGCCCCGACGGTTTTCCAATCGGGAAGTACAAAGCATTATTTTGCATAGGCACAACATAGTTGCTTCATGCATTCCCTGAGCAAGGCAGGAGTAAGATGTTGCTCAAGTTCTCACCTGGAGTGTCTGCCAGGTGCTTTTGGAAGGTATTTTGTCATTCAGAAGAACGTCCTGGGCTTCCGGTGCTGTGTCTTCAACATGTTGTCCCTGGATTTTCCTCTTAGCTGAACAGCTCAGCCCGACCCATCTTTCAGCGCTTACAAACACCGACCCCTAGGTGGCGCCGTCTGCAACTTTCTGAGTCTTTCTGGGCCTATGTCTCCCACCGCATCACTTCATTCCTGGGTCAGGCAACTGCCTGCACCGTGGGCACAGAGCAGCTCTGGCCCAGCTTTAGTCCGACCTGCAGGGCTTCACACAGATCCCCGCTTGCCCTTTGGAAAATTTTTCAATGTATTTGAAAGGCAGAGAGACACACAGATAGCACTGCCTCATACACACACAGTAGATAGACAAAGATGTGTGTGTGCATGTGTGTGGGGAGAGAGAGAGAGAGAGAGAGAGAGAGAGAGAGAGAGAGAGAAAGAGAGAGGGAGAGAGAGGAGGAGGAGGATGAAGTACCCTGGCCTGCACGCCTGCATTGCCCCCTCAGGAAGTACCTTTAAAGGAACCAAACTATTATGTGAGACTGAACTATGCCCCTTTTTCTTCAAGGATCTTAGGATTTTATGCCTTGCTTTTAAAGCTCTCTGTTGGTCAGAGGCTCGGGATCCTTTGGGACGGCAGGCCTACTGAAGGTAAGGCCCGCGTGTCGTCCCTCTCTGCAGGCCTGTCTTCCGGTGGGCGTTACTGACACAGAGCACGCAATGCCTAAACGCCTGTTGACTTAAGAACGGGGGTTCTGTCACATGATCCTTGCTCAGCCCCCTGCTTTAGAAAACACACTTCTAGACAACAGCAATCACTTCTGCACAGATCCTGGGAGGTTTTCTTTGCAGGAATATGTGCTCGGTAAATGTTCTCCGGATCATTATCAATAGAGTTCTGGAATGACCCCTACTCAGATTCGATTTTTCTTTTTTCTTTTTTAAAAAGATTTATTTTTATTATTATTTTTTTTATTGGAAAGGTAGATATACAGAGAGGAGAGAGAGAGAGGAAGATCTTCCGTCCTATGATTCACTCCCCAAGTGAGCGCAACGGGCCGATACTATGCCGGTCCGAAGCCAGGAGCCTCTTCCGGGTCTCCCACGCGGATGCAGGGTCCCAAAGCCGTGGGCCGTCCTCGACTGCTTTCCCAGGCCACAGGCAGGGAGCTGGAAGGGAAGCGGGGCTGCCGGGATTAGAACCGGCGCCCATATGGGATCCCGGGCGTGCAAGGCGAGGACCTTTAACCACTTGCGCCACCGCGCCGGGCCCAGATTCGATTTTTCTTGTCCCGTCTCCTTCCTGACAGCCAAACACTGCTTTGTCGCTGTACAGGGTCGGTTTTCCTTGCTTCCTGAGTTCATCCTACTGCTTGTGCCAATTCCCATATCTACTCAGAGCCAGCTAGGGTGTGTTGGTGATGCTGGGGACAGTGGCTGAGAAAAAGTTTGTGTCTATGAACTGTTGAAACACTTCAATTTGTTTCATCAATAACAGGTCATTCCAGTCAAGTCGTAGTAGTACGTAAGAGTCTTCTGGGACATTCTGAAAGACATTTTCAAATCGCCAAGTTTGCCTGGCTAGCCAACCACAACTTGAGTGCCTCTGATTTCCAGGATCTGTGTGTTTCTGTAAGCTCGCAGGTATACCCACGCATTACAGCATGCAACCATGTCTCCCCTTGGGGCCGTTCTCCATCTCCGCACACAGAAGTACAATCTTTAATTTCTTTGGTCACTTACATACAGACCAACTTCAATTCCATGAGAAGTGTAGTGCCTCTAGGTAGACTTTGATTTGAAAGAGGTGAGGTTTGCTCTCTCTACGCTGTCGGCCAAGGTGAAACTCAATCATTTTCTTTGGCCAAAAATCCTTTTAAAAAGTGAATATATATAGATTTTTATGTCTTGATGACTTAAGTTATAGCTTGCAGTATGTGAGAGAGGAGAGGAACAGAGAGAGTTGGGGGAATGAGTGGATGAAGGTAATCACGGATCTGTTGTCCAGGATCCTGATGTGCATTCCAGCTGTGCTGCACAGTGCCCTCACTGCCCTTCCATCACAGCAGCTCCATCAGCTGGCAGCAGGTGCATCTAGAAAATGTGAGAGAGCCAGTCTCTTTGCAAAACTCCCTAGCTTGAAGACCCCAGCTGCCATCAAGACAGAAAGGCATGGGAGTTTGACTTCTTGCAGGTTTGTTGTTGTTATATGTCAGCAAGAGTTACTACCAGGCACACAAGCAATGTTTTTTTTTTTTTTTTTTTTTTACCCAGTCTTAATCAAAGTGGAAAACTAAACAACAAGAAAAACGGAAACCAAGATTGGTGTCCCCATTTTAAATTCTCATTCTTTCATGTCGCACCAATTTGCATGTTCTCAGAAGTCACCCAGAATTCATTCTGGGCGGGGAAGGTTCAGTCTGATTACTTGATTTGGAAAACAGTGTGTGCCTTTTCAAAAACGATGAGAATTTGTATAACAGAAACAAGAAGGACAGAAAACCAAAATAAAAATCATCTCAACAGCAGGAAAAGCTGGAGCCCATCAGAAGGCCCCTGGAAACTCAGGTGGCTTCATTCTTCTGTTCAGAGCTTAAGATTTCTATCCCAGGTGAAATCCATCGAACTGGGGGTAGATTGCTGGCTCCAGACTCCTGGGGGAGCGGGGGCGCGTGAAAATTCCCTCCCGGCCGCAAACCACACGGAAAGGATCCTATTTTCTAAGACTCAACTGGGGGTCAGAGGAGACGAGAAGCAGTTTCGAACCAAATGGCGTTTTAGGAATCAAACGCGGGAGAGACAAGAGGCGACCGCATAGCGGCCTTGCGGAGCCTGGCCACGAGCCCCAAGCCGAGAGGCCCGGCAGGGGTTCCCGGCCCCGGTCCCTGCACGAGCTCGGGGTCCGACACCCGTGGCTTCCAGCCGGGGCCGACGCAGGGAGCCGGGGCTGGTGGGCTGGGGAGGGAAGCGGAGGCCGCCATATTCCCGCTTCACCACGCCCGGGCGGCAGGCGGGCTGGCTGGCCGGTGGCCGGGCGCACAGGTTGGCGGGGCCCTGAACCGCGATCGCGGCCTCCAGCTCAGCCCGATTGGGGACATCTGCAGCCCGCCGAGTCCGGAGGGCGCAGGGCAGCCGGGAGCTCGCGGAGAGCAGAGAGGCCGGCCCAGGCGGGGAGCCGCACGGGCGAGGCGGGCGAGGCGCACCGGGAGGCGCGTCGCGCGGCCGCGAGCCCAGGGAAAGCCTTGCAGGAGGGGCCGGCCGGTCCCGCCTCCTGTCCCTCCTCCTCCTCCCTCTCCTCCCTCCCTCCCGGATCTGTGCTCCAGTTCAGAGAAAGAAGAAAATGTGTGTGTGTGGCGAGGGGGAGGGCGAGCACTGAGCAGCCGCTCGGCGCCTGGCAATCGGGGCCGGGGGTGGGCGTTGGGCGGAGGAGGCGGAGGAGCGCGCGGCGGCCGGGCCGGGCGAGCGGGGTCGGCGTGCTAGCCGGGCGGTGGGCGCGGGCAGGGCCGCGGGCGCCCGGGGAGCCTTGTCAGGCGGCGGCGAGGAGGATCGCGGGGCGCGCCGGGTGCGGGGAGCCGTCGGCAGCCGCCTGCCAGAAAGGGGACGTCCTCCCCCCCACCACCGGTGGATGTGCTATCGCCGCCGGGCGCAGAACGTAGGGGAGCCTCGGCGGCGGCGCGGGGGGCGAGGCGGGCTGCCCGTTCCCTGGCCAGGAGGCGCGGGCGTCTGAGCGAGGCCGGGCGCGGCGGCGGCCTTCCTTTGCGCGCCCCCCGCGCCAGCGCCCGCCTCCCGCGCCCGCCTCGCTCCTCCGGGCGGCGCAGGACGCCCGCAGCCTCCTCGATTTCCCCGACCCCGGCCCACCTGGTGACCCCGGCCCGTCGCCCCCGCGGCGCCTCCCGGAGCTCATCCCGGACGCGCGTGCAGGCGGTGGGGGCTCCGCGGCCAGCGCTGCCTCGGGGGGGAAGCGAGGGCGGGAGGGCGTGTGTGTGTGTGTGTGCGCGCGTGTGAGCAGGGGGTGCCGGCGGGGCTGCAGCGGAGTCACTTTGGAAGAATGACTCTGGAGTCCATCATGGCGTGCTGCCTGAGCGAGGAGGCCAAGGAAGCGCGGCGGATCAACGACGAGATCGAGCGGCAGCTCCGCAGGGACAAGCGGGACGCTCGCCGGGAGCTCAAGCTGCTGCTGCTGGGTGAGTAGGGCCGGGGCCGGCCGTGCGGGCCCTGCCCCCCTGGCCTCGGTGCCCCCCCCAGCCCCCTGGGGGCAGCCGCCCCTCGCCTCCTGGAGCCTTCGGGCGCGCCCCCGGCCGCCACCCGATCAGCTCGGGGCCGCGCGCGCGCACACACAGTTGCCCGCGCCCGTGCGCGCGGTGGAGGGGTCGGGGCTGGCGGGCTGGGTGCCTGGGCATGTAGCGTTTCGTGCCCCGGGGGGGGAGGGGGGCTGTGCCTTCTCTTGCGGTGCATCTGCTAAATGGCAGATCACTTGTGGCCAGAGGCGCGGGGCTGGGAAGGTGGGCAGAGGGTTTGAACTTGCAGCGCTGTGGCCGCCGCGCCCCCAGGGGTGGTGGAGGTGGGGGGCTGGTGTGTGTGTGGCCGGGAGGGTGTCCAACGGACCCGGGGTACAGGGTTGTGCGTGGATGTGTGGCGGGGCGGCGGCGGGGGTGGGGGGAGGCTGACGCGCCATATAGGTGTCCAGTGTAAATCCATTATGATTGCGTTCCGGGGTCCGGAGAAAATGGGGGACCCCACGGTAGGCAAGACTAGTGACTGGGATCTCTAGGGGGTGAAAATGAGAGGCCCAGTGGTCGGCCCTCCCCTGGAAGGGGCTGGAGTAGGGTGGGGGCGGGGATGGCGGTCGAGCCCAAGTGTGTCACACAAGTGCCACCAGGCCACCCAAGGGAGGGGCCCCAGAAGAGTTTATGGGGACCAGTGGCTGGAGGCAGGCGTGTTTCTCGGCTGCATCATTCCTTCCGGATTGAGGCCGGGGAGAGAAGGCAGCGTTGCTGGTGCGGTTGTCGGCAAGGCCAGCTATCTTTTGTTTAATGAGGCATCCCAGGTTTAGGCCTGAATTCACACTGGTTACTAGCGAAAACCAGCGTAACCTTCCAGTTACAGTCTCTGGGAAACACAGAGAAGCCTTTTGTTTGACGGCGTTTTCGATATCTTGGGGGATCTGGGTTACAAAGAAAAACGGGAAATGTGCAGCAGAAAACAATTTCCTTCTGATCTCGAAATAAATAAACCGACATTTCTGCTTTCCACACGAAGTTAGCAAGAAAATGCCGTTCCTCAGATAGGAATTCTATCCATGATTATCTCTGAGAGAATGTTCGGTATCGGGTCATCAAGGTTCGCAGGGGAGCCGGCGGGACAGAACTGGGAGCTTCTGTGGTTGGAAGAGCAGAGGGCTGTGTGGCCAGTCGCAGGCCTGAAGGGCGTCTGCGCTTCTGGATGTTTGCGTGTGCATAACAAGTATGCGTTGCTACGAGGAGAGGGTCTGGCTTCGAGGAGAGGGTATGGCATCTGGCTTGGGGCTAGAGCATTCCATCTGCCAGCCCAGGAACCGGTTGCCTTTGGGGCCTAGACTGGATCGCTTACAAGCAGGAACAAAATAAAAACGGCCTCACCCACGCAGTAGGGAAGGGTTAATTTCACATGCCCTACTGTGTGTCTTCTTCTGGAGGCCTGTTTAGATGGATGTGCACATGTTTTAAAGGAACAGAAGGCAGCGTGCTGGGTGCAAGAGGTGGGCTTACAGGGAATGAAGCCAGCAGGGGAGGGGAGAAAGAACTGCAATTGCAAAGTGAAGATCTCTTGGGAGAAAAAAAAAAAAACCCACTTTGGTTTTCTTCTCATTTTGTGCTGTGTCTAATGGTTGAACATATCCACTCTGGTGTTTTCACAACTGTCAGGATTGAGATGCAAATCAGGAGGACCGGGGAAGGTGTTTGAGTACACCATTAAAGGGAGAAAATCCGTGGTTGGGAGAGACGGGTTTGAGGAGCAGGGCTTTCTTTTTCCCTGCCGCCCTGTTTACAGCCTTTATCTTTGGCTGTGGATGGGGCGCGATGGTGTCTGCCATCAGCCCTGCTCGCCTGGAAGGTGGCGCCTCTGGGTTTCCCAGCACTTAGCCTGGGGGCTCGGCCCAAGGACCCAGGAGGGAAGCCTGCTTAGAGGGACGTTTACAGACTGTGTGCGTAGAGAATACACGGTGCCTTGCCAGCAGTGAACCTGCGGAGCATTTTCTGCGCTTCCCCCTCCCCCGTGGGGGCGGGGCACGACTGCAAGGTGCACCTTTCTGACAGCTTCCAAGGTGGTCAAGTGGGGCCGTCTCTTCCAGTTCAGGAAGCAGTAGGGTGAGGCTTCGTTCAGCCCACCTCATCCCCGAAGTTTATGGGCTGTTAGAAGCGGTGGAAAAATAACAAATTAATTTAGCATCTCCATTTGTGAAGGCTGCTTAGAAAGTGCCTGTCCAGGAGCGGGGTGCTCACACATCCTTAGGAATCACCACTTCCTGCTGTAGGCAGGTTGCTTTTGTGACTTACCTACGGCAACACTCACACTGCTTATTGTGGTCAAGTGCAGTGTGGCTAAGTGTAGGTTTGTGCCTGTGTGAGTGGTGTGTGGTTGAGTCCAGGAGGGCAATGAGGGCGGACTGGAGCCGGGCAGGATCCTGGGGAGGCATCTGTCAGAGGACGGCTCTGGGGTGCTGCTGTGCACTGAATTTTCCCGATCTTTCCTTCCTTTACACTGAGCCATACCCGGAGGAGGTTACAAAATGTGTTCTCACAGAGGATGTTTAAAGATCTGGTATGTTTAACTACTCAGAGGGAAAATCGCTTCCATATTGAAATGCCATAGAAAGTCATTTTCAAAGTCGGTTTCGGTGTAAGGCGTGTCAGGATTGGGTAGACTCTTGCATTGGGTTCATGTGGCCTTTTAAAATATATATTTATAATTGGGAGAAATGAAAGGAGAAACCGTATGTTTCACTGACTGGAAGAGAATATGACATTCTAACCCGGGCTGTTTGATTCATATCCAGCAGTTATGCCAGTGTCTCCCAAATCTGTGCCTAGGTGCTTGCCTGCTTTGATTTTGTTCTTTAAAAAAAAAAGTGAACCTTAAAAATCTCTGAGGCCTGAGGTCTGATTTTCTTTAAACTATTCAGCCTGAATTTACTTTTAATGTTTATTTTCTTTGGCACCTAAGGACAACTTGATATGCTGCATAGAAGTGCAAGGACATGCTTTTGTTATTTTAACTTCATTGATGTTTTTACATATTTTCTAGGTGAAAAGTATATTTAATTGACTAATATTCAGGAATTCACTAAGCTTTTCTCTCAGTAGTGCGTAGGGCACATACACCGTTTAGTATTAATTTGGCTTCAAGTCTGTGATGAGCTGTTCTCGACTCTTGGGTTCTAGATGTTCATTGTGAATTGCTTTCAGTTCCTAGAAGATCCCTTTTTTCCTATTAGCCTGCTGTTACTTTGTGGGTGTTTGAAGTTTTTTTCAGATCACTTGATGTAATCATCAAATAAGGCGATTGCGCAAATGTCTTTGGTTTGGATGGAAACAAAGTTTAGGTCCGCCTTAAAGGATGTGACCTGGGTCTTCTGACCTGACTTGCATGCCTGCTTGTAGCAGCTGGTTCTAAGTGTGGAGGTTGTGTCTGTTTTGTTCACCATTAACTCTCAGCCTGCAGTACAAGAGCGAGCTGCTACAGTGGCCTCGGCAGGCATTCCGTGAATGAAGAGTTTTATTTGTGACCGCACTGCTAGAAATGGTGATCAAATAGTAATGAATAAATTATGAGAGAGAGAGGTAATAGTTTTATCAGCAGCATATAAAATCACGATCTTTGGAAAATTGTGTGTGTCTGTTGGAGCCAATTGATTAGTGGTGCGTTTCAGGAGAGGAGGTGTTAATAGGAGCTGCTATGTCACACGGTTAAAGCCACGATGTTCTACACTTCTGTGCTCCGTACTCTGGGAATGGGAACGGTGTTGCTAAGTAGGAAGTTTAAAGGAAGAAAACCTGATTCTCATGTTTATTATATAGGGGATAGCTTAACCCGATCGTCTTTCTGCCATAGATTTTTTCATCCATGATACACTTAGTGGAATGAATTTTTGATATTCTCCTGCGTGCAGTTGATGACTACATAGGTTTTGGTGATTTATTTACGCACAGGAAAATCACAAAGGGTAAATACAGAACGTTAGCAATCGCAGCTGGAGCTTTGTTTTTTTTTTTTTTTTTTTTCTTTTTGTTTTTTTAACTAGGGGTTAATGTTTGTACCTAACATTGAACAGTTGAGATAGACAAGGGACCTGGAGGCCTGGGATGTTCAGACCAATCGAGACCCCCCCGAGGAGAGTTCACTGATGCCCACCTGGTTAAAAGCACCATTCACTCTGCTGGTCAGTCCACAGAGTCCCCCGCGGGAAGGTGTGGAGTGTGTGTGTGGGTGACTGGAATTGTCTCAGGAGCGTTTTCCTAGTAGCTGTAGCAGCATCATCTTGGAAAGATGGAGCCGTGGTTGCTAAGGCGTTGGTTTTATTTTTTGTGACTCTGTGCCTCCAAGTGGTGAATTGTTTTTAAATATCAGGATTTATTTGAATGCATTCCTTCTTTCCTTTCTTTTGGCCCCCCTCCCCTTTGGAGCACAGTCATTACAGTTTACAGATGAAGAATGAAATAGGAACATCCCTCAGAAAACTGGCTGCAGCCCAGCGTGGGTAGCCTTCCGTGTGTGGCCCTCCGAGGGAGAGCTGAGCTCTGCGGCTGCCTGGCCCGGCTGCCACGTGACGGTCAGTCCTGCCCTGCACTCATTTCTTCCACCCCTACTTTACAGTTAACTCTGCGTGTGTCTGCTCAGATGTTTGTAGGTGAGTTTGGAAAGGAGAACCAGGAGGATATCTTAAAAAGTCATTTTGTGTTTTGACAGATTCGATAGCTGCCTTTTTATTGAAAGAAAAAAGTTTCACTTTTCAAAGCGGAGGCTGAGGTTCAGTTTTTCAGAAGTTCCGATTAAGTACAATTGGTATTACAAATGCGATCGGAAGGGCCTGAAATGGCTCTGGGAGTGACTGGGGCTGCGTGTGATGCCACGGCTGAGAAGGCTAGGAGCTTTGCTTTCTGGTACAGGCCCATGTTTCCAGCATTCTAGGACTGTTTCCTCTAGG